GGACCCGCGACCGCAGCACCCTCAGCAGCCGAAGGACCTCCAGCACCAGCAGCACGCCTCCAGCGCCGGGCAAACCACTCACGCAGCTCCTGTGGCGAAAGTGGCTCCCGGCGAGACGAAGCACTCGGAGAACCTCCAGGCGGAGCACCTCCAGGCTCAGCACCCCCAGGCGTAGCACCCCTAGGCTCAGCACCCCCAGACGTAGCACCCCTAGACTCAGCACCCCCAGGCTCAGCACCCCTAGGCTCAGCACCCCCAGGCTCAGCACCCCCAGGCCCAGCACCCCCCGGCTCAGCACCCCTAGGCTCAGCACCCCCAGACGTAGCACCCCCAGGCCCAGCACCCCTAGGCTCCGCACCCCCAGGTACAGCACCCCCAGTCTCAGCACCCTCAGCAGCACCAGAGTCACCAGTGACCTCGACAGGCTCGACTGCGTCTACCTGGGACACACCTGAAGGGGCAGGACCCTGAGGGGGGAGGGGGTCGACCTGGGGGGGACCTGGTACCAGGAAGAGTGGGGGTGGGGGGAGGGACGGAGTGCGGTAGGGGAAGAGGCGGTAGTAGGGGACCGACTCGTCAAACGTGACGTCCTGGGAGGACAGAACACGGCGAGAGGTGGGGTGGTAAAACTGCCACCCAGGCGCGTCAGGGGGGAACCCCAGGAAGACGCAAGGAGCAGCACGAGGGGATAGTTTGTCCGCAGACAGGTCGCGGACAAACGCCCGAGATCCCCAGACCCGGAACGCCGACGCATCGCCAACCTTCCCCGTCCACAGTAAGGCTGGGGAGGTCTCCGGCCTGGAGACCCTGGGGTGGAGGTTGATCTGATGCGCCGCGTACCTCACCGCAAACGGCCACAGAAAATGGGGGGCAGCCGCATGCATCATAGACGTACGAGCGACGTCCATGACCATGCCAATGCGGCGCTCAGCAATCCCATTTTGCTGCGGTGAGTCCGGAAGCGTGAAGGTCTGACGGATGCCCCGTGCACGACAGTAGGCACGCAGAAGGCCAGAGGAGAACTCTCCGCCTCTGTCCGAGTGCAGACGCAGAACAGGAAAGTCCGAGCCGAAGCTCTGCCTGAGCTGGAGACGAGCTGCGCGGATCCAGTCGATCAGCACCTCAGTGACATCACCCTTGCTGCGCAAGGGGAAGACTGTGGTGTAACGCGAGTAGTCGTCAACAACGAGCAGGAAGTAGCGCTCGTGACCCTGTCCACGGACGCGGGCTGGGCCCCACACGTCCATGTGAAGTGTCTGCAACGGGGCCTCTGTCGAAGGAAACTGGGAGGAGTGAGGGGCAGCACGCTGGCGCCCCTCGACACAGGGGACACAGGCAGGGCCAGGGCCCTGAGGAAGGGGAGGGAGGGACCGGGGGAGACCGGACACAAGAAGACGGGAGGCCATACCTCTGAGCCGAAGCAGAGAGGGGTGGCCAAGGCGGTGGTGCCAGAGGAGAGTCTCGTGAGACAGGAGACGACACGAACAGGGGGCAGACTCAGGACCAGACCTGGACGCCGCAGCAAACACCTGACCCGACGTAACTACCCTACCAGACTCAGCAACTGGAGGAGACGCAGTGGTCAGAGTGTACAGGCTCGACCCCGGCTGACGGGTGAACGTAGCCAGGTGTCGGCCTGTGCCAGCCTCTGTACAGTGGGTCACTCGCTGACGTGCAGGAGTGAACTGGTGGACACCCGCATCCTGTAGGTCAGCACCACTCACCAGGTTCGTCGAGAACGAGGGGAGGTAGAGACCAGACAGGGTGCCAGAGGGAGCCGCCGGACACGGGAGGACTGTGGAGAAACGAGACAGGACCGGACCCCCAGAGGGGTCAGCCAGAGACACCGCAACCGGCCGACTAAGCGGCGTAAGTGTGGTGTGGTCCCGAAAGAAGGAGCGAGACGCCCCAGAGTCAAGAGTGAAGGTGAGGGAGGCCGAAGCCGACGCGGTACCTGAGAGAGCAGACTCACCAGTACCTGAGGACGCAGACACACCAGCACCTAGAGCAGCAGCGTCGTAAGCACCTAGGGCAGCAGCCTCACCAGTACCTAGAGCAGCAGTCTCAATGCCCGGATCGGGCTGGAAACACCGGTAACAGTCACCCTCATCACTAATAGACACAGCATACATGGCAGAGAGAATAGCATCAAAGTCAAGATCATAGATGGCAACACCCGCCCTAGACAGCTCGCCCCAGCGAGGGATCTCGGAGGCCTCCGGGAACTGGTGACGCCACGCGTCCGTCAGGCGGCCAAAGCAGCGCTGGGTGGGGTGGGCACCCCCACACTGCTCACCCGCACGGTCGCCAGTGCGCAAAACGTAGGAGCACGGACCAAAACCCCCACCCCGCTGACGCGCAGTGTACCACTCACGAAGCTGCTGAGGGGACAGGGTGTCACGACCACGCTGCTGCTGCTGGCGCGAGCCACCACCGGAGCCACTCCTCTGCGAAGACCCGCGACCAGCACCACCGCCACCCCCGCCGCCTCCGACGCCTCCGCCGCCTCCGTCGCCACCTCCGCCACCTCCGCTCCCACCGCCACCGCTGCCGCCACCTCTACCTCCACTGCCGCCACCGACCCCTCCACCCCCACCTCCACTCCCACCGCCACCCCCACTCCCCCCACTGCCGCCACCTCCACCTCCACCGCCCCCGCTCGCTCCTCCAGTGCCCTTGCCCCCCTTGCCCTTGCCAGTGCGGCGTCTCCCGCTAGGGGCAGACGCCGCACCGACCGACTCAAGACCAAGGAGGTCGGCCGCAGCAGCAGAGGCAACAGAGGGCAGAAGGGGGGAGGGGGAACACCCCTCAAAGATGGGGGTGCGCGGGTCACCACGAGAGGCCCCTACAGCGACTATGCTCTTCTCGGCCGCTAGGAGGGACTTCTCGAGGAGGTCAACAGTGAGAGTGGTGGGACAGACAGAGAGAAAGTGGTCCCTGACTACGCGAAGGGAGTCAGGAAGGCGAGTGACTATGTAGTAAAGAGTGATGTACATGGGGGGGGGGTTCTTGGCGCAGAAGTCAGGAGGGAGTGCAGCGCGGTAGCGAGTGTCACTAGTGCGGAGGTGCGTAATGAGGTCAGCGGCTGTGGGAAAGGCAGCAAGGTCAGGAAAGAGGTACGGTAGCATGAGACGGCTCAGTGCAGCAGTGGCAGGGGAGGAGTAGCGCGCAACTACAGCGTCGTACAAGGTCTGAGCACTCTTGTACTGACTAAAGTGCGCACGCTCGGAGGTAGGGAGGTGGCGACGCACAGCAAGACGTGCAGCAGCGTCGCGCGTGGCCCACTGGGAGCGAACAGTGGCGTCAGCATCAGCAGCAGGGGCAGTGGAGGCGCCAGAGGTGAGATCAAAGAGAGAGAGGCCGTCTGCCCTATCGCACTGTAAGAACAGCTGCAGGTCATCTACCCAGACCTCAAAGTCAATGGCCCGACCCTCAGTGTCAAAGGCGAGAACACTAGGGGTAGCCATGACCCTAGACGACTAGCACTGAAACAGTAGGGTGAGGACAGTGCAGTGAAAAGGCGCTGTGCTCACCAGACTGGGCAGGTCGGGCGGCCCGGAAGGAGGGCGGCGCGGCGGCTCGGCGGCTCAGCTGCTGGGCAGCTCGGCGGCTCCGCTGCTGGGCGGCTCGGCTGCTGGGCGGCTCGGCTGCTGGGCGGCTTGGCTGCTGGGCGGCTCGGCTGCTGGGCGGTTCGGCTGCTGGGCGGCTCGGCTGCTCAGCTGCTGGGCTGCTGGGCGGCTCGGTTGTCCGGCTGCTCGGTCGCTGGGCGGCTCGGCTGTGCTGCGGCAGGGCGGCGCGGCGGGGCAGCAGGTGACGGGGCCGCAGGTAAGGGCGGCGGGGCCGCTGGTAAGGGCGGCGTGGCCGCGGGTAGGGTAGCGGGGCCGCAGGTAGGGTGGCGGGGCCGCAGGTAAGGTGGCGGGGCCGCAGGTAGGGTGGCGGGGCCGCAGGTAAGGTGGCGGGGCCGCAGCAGAGGGCGGCGGGGCCGCAGGTAAGGTGGCAGGGCCGCGGGTAGGGTGGCGGGGCCGCAGGTAAGGTGGCGGGGCCGCAGCAGAGGGCGGCGGGGCCGCAGGTAAGGTGGCGGGGCCGCGGGTAGGGTGGCGGGGCCGCAGATAAGGTGGCGGGGCCGCAGGTAAGGCGGCGGGGCCGAAGCAGAGGGCGGCGGGGCCGCAGGTAAGGGCGGCGTGCCCGCTGGAAGGTGGCAGGGCCGCAGGTGAGGGCGGCACGAGGGGCCGCGGAGGTCGGCAGCGTGCCGTAAGGGCGGCACGCGACGCCGCGAAGGGCGGCGACGGGCCGTTACGGGCGGCGCAAGGGCGGCGACGGGCCGCTTAGGGTGGCGACAGGCCGCGAAGGGCGGCGACGGGCCGATTTAAGGGCGGCGCAAGGGAGGCCGCGAGGGGCGACGCGACAGTAGAGAGGGCACACGAGGCGCGACTCGGGCCTAAACTAAGCGCGTTCCGGGCAGGAAAAAAAATTTCGACTTGGTGGGCCCTAGGAACAGTTCCCACGAGGGAACCTGCTCGATACCATGATAAGAAACGAGAATCGATGAACTATGAAATGAAGTGAGTACAAATATGAAACCCTAATTGGTTGTACCCCCTATGGGATACCCCACTATAGCCTACACAACAGCATAAGCTACAATGTTCTGACATAATCCACACCAAGTATGTATTCTACTTATTTTCTTTGATCAAGAAACTTATTTTCATTTGTAAAACATCCTGACTCTAACGAGAATATGCTTTATCTCAATCGCATTGAATGAGCTCCATGTCATAGCCATGGCGGTCCCATCTTCAGCTCGAACGAAGCGCCTTGCGTTGTCCTCGACGCTAGGCAACTTGCCATTGCACAAAGCGCTCCGATTCGCAGCAATGGGTGTCACTACTATGTACCGGTTCTCCTGTTTCAGTCGCTATCGACGAGATACACGGCGACACATCTTCTTCCACTCATCTCGTTGTGCTCTCACTCACTCTCGTTGTCGAACTAAGACAATGGACGAATCAGGTCCGCATCTAGTAGGACTAGTGAATGACGCTTGTGAGTCTCGTTTTAGCTTCTTGCAAATTTCTGTAGGCATTCCCTTGAACGAATTTCTCTAAGCATTCCTGAAGGTTTGGGTGATGCTTGTGAGGCTCGACCCTCGCCAGCAAGCTGGAGACCCCTTGGCTTACTATTCGACACTTCAAATGTTGTGGTTGTTGGTTTCATTGTAAATCATTTGTCCTTTTCTTGTTGAGGGAATTCAAGAACATACATGTAATCATCTCGTCCATTCTGTCCCCTTGTCGTCTTCACCCTTTCAGCCCGCACCTCAGATTCAGATGCAGTGGACATGCTGCCAGCTCCCCTCTGCCACCACATATTCCGCCGCCTTCTGCTGCCACCATCCCAGCCGGACGACCCTGCTACCACCTCGGAGGATCGCGACTTGCAGATGCAGCCCACAACTGGAGTGCAGCAGAGTGGTGCGAATCTACGGGTGCTTCTTGATCCTGACGGCACGCCCAGCGCGCGGCACAGGAGGGATACGAACAAGTACCAGGCTTCCTGCCATGCTGCGCTCACGCCAGCAAGAGCCTCCTCCAGCACGCCCTCTCCTCCTCCGTCAGTCACATCCTCTCATTGTCCCAACGGAATCTCGGATGGTTATAATCCGTTTCTTATTTTGTAACCATGTTTCATAAATGCTGTTGATGTCACCGCAAGCCTCAGACATCCAAAATTTCTAAAGAACGCATCGACGAGGCCTGGTGTTGTGTCACTGCAGGAGAGTCAACCGATCTCCCTCCTCTACAGCCATCAGCACCCGCAACACTGGATCGACAGCCTCCGCTTCTTTCTCCACCATGGCGGGCTCCACTCCCTTGACCTCCGCTTCACCAAGCCAGAGCACCTGCGCACCCAGCGCGCCGTTTCCCCCGTAGCCCTACTCGCCACACTCCCCCACCCCACTTATGGGGCAGCAGCAGCAGCAGCAGCAGGGGGGGCAACCACAGCAGCAGGGGGAGCAGCAATGGGAACACCGGTGGGCGCGTTTCCAGGTCTGGCGCAGCCCATGGGGACGCGAGTACTCTTTTCCCGCTCGCCCACGCTCCTCCACTTCACCATCCCTCCGCAGCACTTCTCCCTCAAATCGTTTCAGGAAATTGCCATCGCCCTGGTGAGCTTGACCCTGTCAAGTGCTCTTTTTTTTTAGTCGACTCAAAAAGCGAGTCACCATCCCTCCCTAGCACTTCCTCTCCCTCAAAGCGCTTCCCGAAATCGTACTCGCCCTGGTGAGCTTGACCCTGTCATGCAATTCGTCCTAAAACCATCATGCTGCATTCTTTTGCTTACCTTATTTTCTACATGCCAATCGTTTCCCTTCGTTTCTAACCTCCAATGCTCCTTCTTCCTCCATCTCACCTGCTTCCTTCCTCCCTCCCTCTTCATCCACCTCCGTCAAATTTTATATTCTTCCTCCCAACCCCAAACCCACCATCCGTGCCATCGCAATTCTTGGCGGCATTTGTCATCTTTTGGACATCCACAGCAGAAGCAAACATTTCTCGTTCCTCTCCCCTCTCAATCTCCCCACCACCCACTGTCCGAGCCATCTCAGTTCTGGACGGCCTTTGTCGCCTTCTGGACAGCCACAGCAGCATTGTCTGGAGCTCCGGTCTTCTTCATCCTCTTCTCCATTCCCTTCTGGGCAGTGGGCATTGGGTGAGTGAGATTAAGTGCAAACCGGCTATGTCTTTAAGATTCTCACCAGCAGCAGCACCAGAGGAGGAGAGGGGGGAGGAGGAGGTGGAGCCTGCCCCTGACCCTACCCTTTCCGGACGAATCCAAATCGCTTCCAATACGCTGTCATTTCCCACATAACCACCCTTCCCACAACTCATAAGATGGTCATTCATCGGCTAACACCAGACTTTCCAGCCTTTTGGTGCACTCGCTATCTTGCCACATCATGGGCCAGGTGGTTCTTGTCCTGGTGTGGCATGGCAATGTCACAAGTTCCGACTCGCACATGACTTATGACTACTGCCACCTCCCCCCACCTCTTCTTCCCGTTCCCCATCCGCGCTAGCCTTCTTGCCCGCTTGCTATTGCGGCACATCATTGACGAAACAGTGACTTCGTGACAACCGATCATCATACGTCCTCCTCCCCTTCCCCTTCCCCACACCCCCTTCCTCCTCCCCGCCAGCCTGCCTGCCCACTTGCTACTGTGGCACATCATGGATGAAACAGTGACTGTGGACCCCGCCACGTGTCAGCTCACGATTCATCGAGCGGTGAAAGGGCAGACTCTGCCGTTATTTGACCTGTCCACGGCTCGTACAGCTCTCATCTACGGCGCAGGAGTCAACTACACCATGCAGGTAGTCCACTTTTTATGTATACAATATTCCGTATGCATACATATATATGTACACATAGTATATGTTCATATACATATATACTTTTTCTATACGAACACTATGGGAGTACGACGACGACGACCACCACCACTCTTGTTCGGAAGTTGCTCAGAGGATTCCTTCTGCTAGAGTATCCCCCATCCCTTCTGCCCAATTACCCTCCTGCAGCATCATCAGCACGACTCATGGGAGTACAGTCAGTAACACCACCACCACCACCACCACTCTCCACCTCTCCTGCTTCAAAGTTGCCCAGAGATTCCCCATGCCTTCCACCCAACGCCCCGCCTGCAGCACTATCAGCACGACTCATGGGAGTACGGACAATACCACTACCACCACCACTCACCAATCACCCCCATGCCTTCTACCCAACTCCCCACCTGCAGCACTATCAGCACGACTCATGGGAGTACGGACAATACCACTACCACCACCACTCACCAATCACCCCCATGCCTTCCACCCAACTCCCCACCTGCAGCACCATCAGCACGACTCGTGGGAGTACGGCCAGTACCACTACCACCACCACCACTCTCAACCAACCACGTTCTGCCAGCTCACCATGGCGGGCGGCGAGACGCTCTCCTTCGGCTCTCGCTTGTCGCTAGCAGAGCAGCGCTTGCTCTCCCTGCACATCGCATCCTTCCTGCACGTGCCCTGGTTTCAGCCTCCCTTTCTGCAATCCTTTTGACCCAACAATGTTAGCACCTATAAAGTGTTGTTCCTGCCAACAAGTATATTGTTTGGTACACAACTAGGCAAAACCATGTCAGCAGTACTGCCTCTGTGCATGCTGTAGCAAAGCAGTGCTCACTCAGTCAATGCCAGTTCATTATGGAGGAGTGGTGGCTAGCTGTCACGGCACACCTCTGCAAGTGCCCTGGTTTCAGCTACGATAATAGTCTTCGAGTTATAAAATGGGGGCGTGTCCGCCAACACCACTTTCGTAACCTATTTTTTGCAATGAATCCAGATTACACACACCTCTGTTATATGCATAGGAGATTACATATCAGATCCCTTTTCTACTTTCAGCATGTATGCCTCTTCATCATGCACACTGTACCCCTCTAACAACTGCTGATTCACGCTATGCATCTTCTCCCTCGTTGTCTTGGACGGTTTCCACGGGTCTCTCCGACTCCCACCTTTCTTACCCCTCGCATGCACCAACGGAGCATCTCTCAACCTCTCCCCTTTCCTCTCCCAGTAGAAAGTTTTATCGACAATGCAGTATAACCCCAATGATGGGTAATTGTGTTTCAGGGTTGCCAGGGTCTGTCCATCAGAACCTTCACTTGGAAAGAAGAGGGCTTGCAGGTTTGGGGCGTTGATGGAAGGAGGGGTCATCAGCGTGTTCATGCGATAGACCTCCTCCACAGAAGTCTCCCGATCCTTTTCGATCTCCCAACCCGCATCATCCACTTCTGTGTACTGCACGACAATGCCAAGGTTGCGCAGGCTATGCCACTCCACATCCATTTCAGTGGAAAGGACCTCATGCTCTACCATAAGCACCTCCACCGTAGGCGCAACCTTGCGGAGCCAACTCTTCCACGAAAGCTCTGAGCTGGCACTGGGATTGACCTGTGAAGGTGGTACGGTGGAGAGTTTTTCGAGGGAATGGTACTCGGCATATCTTGGAGGAGGATTCAAGTAGACAACCCTGGCGGATGCGAAGCAGAGGAGGGAGGCGCGGAGTTTGGAACGGGCATAAAGGATGAGGTGGTTGAGAGCAAGAGGGGTGTCCGACTGACAGGTGAGCTCGACAAAGCGAGCCATGACAGACAGGGTTGTGAGGGAGGATGGGAGGTTGAGAGTTAAGATGAGTTTTGTCTCCAGGAAGAGGAAACGGAGAATGCGTGCGTTGGAGAAACTGAAACTGTGGCGGATGGTGCCAAATTGGAAGCGGGGGACCTCGTAGAGAGTGAAATCCGTAAGCTGTGGCGTGATGGCGTCCAGAAATTTATACTCCATGGCAAAGCTATCCACGAATGCGAGAGTCAGGCTCCGCAGGGACTGCATCCATGCTGCATTTGCACAGCTCTCATTCAGTTTCCACTTGCCCCGACCCAACCTCAGCTGCTGCAGCTGCGAGCAGTCTTTCAGGAAGCCCTGAGTGAAACCCTTGCGATCCTGCCGACATTGCCGGAAAAGCAGCTCCAGCCCCAGGGACGTGAGGGAGGCACTGGAGCGTGCAATGAGGGGTCCCAGGGTGCGCAGGTGCTCTGGTTTGGTGAAGGTGAGGTAAAGGGAGTGGAGCCCACCGCGATGGAGAAAGAAGCGGAGGCTTTTCATCCACTGCGGGTACTGATCATTGCAGATGAGGGAGATCGGCTGACTCTCCTGCAGTAGAATAAAGGTTCTTAGGCTTGTGATGACAACCATTGACATGCACAGTACGTTTAAGAAGCTTGGATTGTAACGACAATATATATATATATATATATTTATTTATTTATTTATATAAACGGTAAGATGAGTGGGCGTGACTCACGTTGAAAGAGAGGACGTGCTGCAGGAGGCTCTTGCCGGCGAGAGCACAGCACAGCAGAGGCCAGGAAGCTCCGTACTTGTCCGCATCTCTCCTGTGTCGCTCGCTACCACCCGTGCAGTCAGGATCAGGAGACACTGGTAGAGCCGCATCGCTCAGATGCACTCCAGCTGCGGGCTGCATCTGCAAGGCGCGATTTCTACCTGTGCAGTCAGGATCAAATGGCACTGGTAAATCCGCATCGTTCAACTGCTCTCCAGCTGCGCGCTGCATCTGCAAGGCGAGTGTTGGAATGGTTCGACGAACCACACCTAAGTGACGGCGCGACTTGGTGAAATTCGGACCGACGACGATCTACTTTACGGTGGCGTGTGGAGGAAGCAAAGAGAAGAAGCTAAGAAGCTCCTAAGTTGCTTGGCGTGTGAGCTACGTAAGGAGAAGCTACGGGAAGAAGTTGGAGTAAAATGGGAGGAAGATTGGTGAAGATTTGACTAGGGGAGAAGAATTGGTTGACGGGGGAAGAAATTGGGTTAGGTTCATGGCGTGTTCGACAAGTTTCTGTCTTTCGGACTTCGGGAGTGTTCGACGAAGCAGGGTCGGTTGCGTGTGCGACTCGACGTGACACTTGGAGTGTGGTACAAGTTTGTTACCAAGGGGTTTGCTTGTGGGACACGTTTTGGTTCGGTTACTTGTGTGCTTGGGGTTAGTATAAGTGTGTGTGCTAGTCATTTGAAATACAACCTTGACAATTTCCTTGCATCTTGGAGTGCCAAGTTCGATACTTGTTGTTGGCACATTTGTGATTCATTCGCGAAGGGTTAGTGGAGCCCTGGTCAAGGCCTCATTTGTGATTCATTCGCGAAGGGTTAGTGGAGCCCTGGTCAAGGCCTCGCGAGTCACTATCGATTGTGTATTTTCGCGCGAAGACATCGCCAGACGCTAGTGAAGGAACCGCGAACCGAATTCTTCTGCAGAGCGCCAGTGAAGCGCCAGTCAAGCGTTGGTGAAACAGAAAACAGTCAAACGTTAGTGAAACGTTGACAGAATTAACCGCTGCGCATATCGTTGGAATCGTGGGAACGAGGAGAACGCCATCGACAATAGCAAGCAGACTTTTGTCGACCAAGGCGTCTACGATCCTGACAGTTGGTATCAGAGCCCGGAGAAGGCGAACGGGCGTGCGCTACTCGTCAAGAAGAACGAGCGTGCACTACTCGTCGCTAAGTGGGAGAAGAAGGAGTTCTTCACGCCTACGCCATGGGGGACGAGGCGAGTTCGGGTTCCAGTGTGAGTCTTGGAAACCCGGAGATGAAGGCGCTTCTCGAGGCACTTGCGAGTGTCCGTGTGGTGACAAAGCCGACGATCGGGCTCAGTGAAGCCCAACGCTTCAAGGGAAGCAACTACAACGTGTGGCGGAAAAAGTTCATTCGAAGGGCAGAGGAGGTTGAGCTCCTACCGTTCTACCGTCCCGATGAAGGGACGAAGGAGGGAGTTCCACCCTCCAAGACGGATCCGCCGGAAAATGTGGCGTTGTTTAAGAAGCAAAGTACGAAGGCATTCTTCCAACTTTGCGATTCGGTTGCTGATACTATTGCGGTGGATTTGGACCAATTTGCAGGGGAGCTGAATTCGGCACAACGTGCATGGGAGTACTTGGAGTCCACCTACATGGGCAACAGTGATACTAGCAGAAAGGCTGTGAGAAAGCAACTGCTGATGCTGAGCATGGAGAATGGTGAAAATATGATCACCTACATCAATAGGGCGAAGAGCTACAACGACGACCTACGGGTGATGGGAGCCGCGGAGTCGGAGCAAGCGATGATCGACTACATCATTGAAGGACTTCCTAAGGAGTACGATTCGGGCGTAGGGATGTTCACGTATCAACCGCCGGAGAACTTGATGAAGCTGCAGGAGATTCTACAATCTCTTGAGACGGTGAAGGAGATAAGGAGGAAGAAGGTGGCTAAGGAGATTGAAGACGAGAAACCTGGTATGGTGAATGTAACTTCAACAAAGGCGTTTGGAGCATGCTACCATTGCGGAAAGAGGGGGCACAAGGCGATCAACTGCTATGACAACCCGAGGAGCAAGAACTACAAAGGAAAAACAGGAGAGAACGACCATGAAGATAACGGGGGAGCGGATAAACGCGGATTTGGCGGCAAATGCGACTATTGCGGGCGCTACGGACATAAGGCCGCGGATTGCTACTCAAACCCGAATAGCAAGTGCTATAAGGGACCGGCGCAGCAGAGGAACGTGGCTGCAAAGGCAAACGTGACAGTGGTGGAAAAGGAAGACGTCATTCTTGGAGGTGCACACCGTGCCAACATGGTGCGAGTGCCTAAGGTAAACGAGCCAACTGATTGTGGTAAGAATGATTCGTGTGTTGGTGCAACCCTACGGTTTGCACTCGGCTTGTTGTCCGTGTGCGTGAATGTGTGTGTGTATGGAATGGTATGAGGGCATGGGATAATATATATTTCAAGCTTATAATTGTGTGTGAATGTTGAGTCATGATGTCGAGTGTGTGTGTCGAGTCAATAGCGAGTTATCGCTAGACGCGTGTTACGCGGTCGTTTGTGTCTCGCGCGCGGTTTCTATTTTGTCGTGCGCGGTTTCTATTTTGTCCTGTGTCGAACGTTCGGCGTGTCGCAGGTGTGTGCAGCAGACCCATCAAGAACTCAAGGATGAGTTTGTGATGAAGAGCCCGAGCCTTGGTGTCAAGCCTCAAGTGATTTCGAAGCTCGCCAAAAGGGTACACCTCAAGATATTGAAGATAGTTACATTACTTTGTGTAGTGTAACATTTCACTTGGTGTAGGCCCTAGTGAAGGGTAGTTTCGAGACCCTTCGTGGTTGGGGACAGTGTGGCACTGTTCCACATCACTGTACCTCGGCTCTTGGGGTTTGTTGGAGCTGGGAGTCATTCCCAACTCATAACTCTTCCTATCTGGTGTTCTAAGACTATAGTGGCTGCCATAGTACCGTTCGTTCAAACCGACGCTGTGTCGTCAATTCTTTATCAAATCGTGCAATCTAAATTGCTAATTGTAGACGACGTGAAGACGCTCCAGATCCAATTTGAATCAAGTCATTTTCAGCTGTGACCAGAACGCTATCAACGTTTGAAGCCGCTGTGCAGAAATCCGTCTGTGCTCTCTATCTTTCGTTTTAGGCACATTCAAGCCTATTGTGACTATAACAAGTGGTATCAGAGCCCCTTGGAGCAGTTTCGACAATGTCTGGACCTGAGGAAAGGGGTGGCAGAGGTGCTGGTGGCAGTGGAGAAGCTCAAGCTCAAGGCCAACCCCGTGATTCAGCCATGGCGCCCATGCAACCAAGTCTTGGCCCACCTAGGGATGAGCCTAGGGTGTTTGGGCTTGACAAGTTCAACGGTGACAACTTTGCTGAATGCTCCTTCAAGATGGAGAACATCTTTGACCACTATGACCTGCTGGAGGTGATGGAAGGAACGGAGAAGCGCCCCGAGAACGACCCGGAGAAGAGCCCGTGGGTGCGGAAGAGCGCACAAGGCTATCTCTTACTTGGGCAAGCGTTGGGGAGCAGTCAGATCCGTCACATCAAGCCATTCCACCGTGAACCAGAGAAAGGACCAAAGGCATGGGCTGCTCTCAAGGGTGTACATGCTCCTGCAACAGCGGCGGTAGCGGTGGTGTTGGAACGGCAAATGGCGGCACTACGAATTGAAGAAGACGAAGCGGTTGAAGAAGGGGTGCAGAAATTCTTCGACTTGTTGACGCGGCTTGAGGGAGCTGATTTGAACTACAGTGAGCTCCAAAAGAAGACCAAGTTGCTGGCCTTACTCCCAGGGTCATGGTCCTCGCTCATCATCAACCTTAATCGCGACTTGCCCCGCCTCTCGCTTGAAGACGTGAAGCGAGCTATCCTTCAAGAGGATTTCCGCCGCCGTGAGTTGGCGAGTGCGGATGGCGCTGGGGCAGCGAGCATCGGCCGTGGATATGGTCGAGGAAGAGGCAGAGGACGAGGGGGAGGAAGGTTTGGTGGCAGCAACTTCGGCGGAGGCCGCAGGAGTGGCGGTTACGGCAGCGACGACAAGAGCTACGGACGCGGTCGCGGCCGATTCGACGGCGAGTGTCACTATTGCCACAAGAGCGGACACATGTGGCGCGACTGCTACAAACTCCCTGATGGTTGGACCCCTGCTCAAGGCCAAGAGGGTAGAGGAGCAGGAGGAGGGAGAGGACGAGGCCGTGGAGGCCGTGGCGGTCGCGGTGGCGGAGCTGCAAACATGAAGAGCGGAGACAACGACAAGGACCCGAGCGACGATCGATACCCGGGTCTATTCTACTTCGTGTCGACGCAAGTACCGGCTGGTCCAGAGAAGGATGAAGGCTTTGAGGAGCCAGCAGCTGTGGGGAAGGTGACCCTACACCCCCTGGACTATTGGGTGATTGATAGTGGCGCTACCTATAGCATGACACCTCGCCCGGACTTGCTCACCGAACTCGAGCCGTCACCGGTGAAGCATGTCACATCGGCTTTGGGGCAGCGAGCAGAGGTGAAAGGCATGGGCAAGGCCATGTTCAAGGGTGCTGATGCGAAGATGGTGGGCCTCAAGAACGTGCTTTGGGTGCCCAGCCTTGCTGCAAACCTGATTTCCGTGCGGCGGTTGGCAAAGGCCGGCATGGACACGAACTCGAAGGGAGCCAAGACCTACACCGCAAGGCTTGGCGATCGAATTCTTTGGGACCTTCATGAGGACAGGGATGTCTACAACGAGATGTGGCAGATCCCAGTGGTCCCTATGCCTAAGGAGAGGCAAGTGGCAGCAAGCATTAGCACCAAGGATGGAGCGGTCGGTAGAGACAATGGCGCGAACGGTCGCGCTAAGGAGAATGAGCTCAAGAAGAGCAAACCTGGAGGGACCAGCAAGTTCAGTGAACCTAAGGAGAGTGGTGCAGCAACCAAGGAGCAGCAAAAGGGTGAGGAGAACCCAAAGGCAGCAGCGGAGGAGGACTACGGAGAGAGTATGTGGGGCGCTATTGCGAGCGCGGCATTCTCCAATCCAACTTCGGCTACGGGGGAGTGTGATTGGCTCACCTTGCATCGGCGCATGGGGCATGTGGCCCTGCCCATCTTGCAGCAGCTAGTGAAGAATGAGATGGTTGCTGGCATACGTGTGAAGGGGGAGCC